CCATCAGCAGAAATGAAATATGAATAATAGCTCCTCTGAATCAAATCACCAATTCAAGAAAATGAAGTATCTTCATTGGTTTATGCGCCTCTTGATCATAGCTTTTATCGGTTCGAGATCAGTCGAAGCTCAAAATCAAGCAGGTTCTTGAGAACATACAAGACTCTGTTTTCGATTACTCTGTTTAAAGCAACAAAAATTAAATTTTAAATTTAAACAACTCTTTTGAGAGTGTTATCTTTGGTTACATATATGGTTTTGATCATGGACAGGATTCATTAGCTTGGATTGTGGGTTGGTTCCTAAGAACACAACTTATGTGGAGAAGACGACGAATATAACATACAAATCAGACGCGGATTACATCGATAGTGAATCGGTCGGGAAGATCAATGATGCATAGAAGAATCTGTTTCAGCAACAGATTTGGGCCTTGAGAAGCTTCCCTGATGGTGAAAGAAACTGCTACAACGTCAACCTCACATCGAACCGCAAATATCTGATCAGAGGAACTTCTATTTATGGGAATTATGACGGTCTGAATCAACTCCCAAGCTTTGATCTTCATATTGGTTCTACCAAATGGACTTCCGTTAAAATAGTAGGAATTACAAATACTTCGATGCATGAGATCATCCATGTTCTTACACAAGAACGTCTTCAAGTTTGTCTTGTTAAGACAGGACCGACCACCCCGTTCATTTCGTCGCTGGAACTTCGTCCGTTGAAGAATAACACTTACGTCACGCAAAGCGGATCATTGAATTTGTTCGCTAGAGTATTCTTTTCACCCGGTTCATCATTCATCAGGTTATAAGAAAACATATATTTTAGGTTTTGTACTTGTTGTTCTTTCTGTTTTCGAGCTAACAAAAAGAGAGAAAAAAAACATTTCTCTAGGTATGATGAGGACTTAAACGACCGAGTATGGAATTCATTCTTAAATGAAGAAACCACAACGATAAGCACCGATCTTCTAGTCGATACAAGTAACATCTATGAGGTGCCTCAACTCGTGGCAAAAACTGCTGCTGTTCCTACAAATGCTAGTAAGCCATGGAGCTTATGGTGGACTCTTGATGACACCACTGCACAATCATATGTATACATGCATTTCGCCCAAGTCGAGAATCTAAAAGCCGATGAAATAAGAGAATTCAACATTACTTTCAATGGTGGCAACCCTTATTACAACTGGATGAGGCCTGAGAATCTCAGCATTTCAACGATATTCGGTCAAAAGGCAATAAATTCTCCCACTGGGAAATATAATTTCACTTTCGAAATGACTGGTAACTCAACTCTTCCTCCACTTATCAACGCCCTTGAGATTTATACAGTCGTAGACATTCTACATCTCGAGACGGAGAAGGATGAAGGTAAACCGTGTTCTTATGCCATTCTTTAATCGAAATTGTATTTCTTTTAACATTTTTCTTGTTTTTGAGATGTGTTTGAATATGTGATGTATCAGTTTCTGTTATGTTGAACATCAAGAAGACATATGGTTTGAGAAATAAGGTTACTTGGCAAGGAGATCCATGTGTTCCTAAGCTTTATAGGTGGGAAGGTTTGAATTGCAGTTATTCGGACTCCGAGCCATCGCTGATCATATCCTTGTATGTTCTGTATTTTTCATCACAAGTCTCTAGATTCGGCTTTCAAAAATTCTAACTATTATGAATACATTTTTTGTTTCACAAACATTAGGAACTTGAAAGCGAGCGAGTTGACCGGTACCGGTACCATAACCTTAAATGATTCGAGCTGTAAGCATCCAAACTGTCAC